TGCTTTTGAATCGGATGGAGAGGTGAATTGAATGCTGTAAAAAAAGCGATGTGATTTTGAATTAGATGTACGGTAGTAGATGCATAAAAGTTTTTTTATTGTCAAATGGTAAGGGAAATCTGAATCATACTAAGTTCTTGAATTCATAATTTTTCACCTGAAGTAATATTAATTATATTTGTATTTTCATAGCATGATCAAATATGGATATTGACAATTGATTAGAGAGATGCAGTTATGCAAATATTAAGGAAAAATATCAGTAGAACTTATGTTTAAAAAAAAACAAAAAACAATTAAGGATGGATAACTAAGCTTTGATAAACTGCATTTCACCTGATTTGTTTGGCATACTGACATTAATGCTAGATGAATTAGGATTAGGGTAGGATTCTATTTTTAATGATGAAGGTTATCTCTACAGTGTTTGACAAAATCTGCATACTTCTAGACAATAGAAGATGACTCATATTCAGGGCAAATACAAAGGGCATCTTTTATCTTTTGCATCTGTAGGGGACATGAATTGCTTGATAAGAAACTCTGTTAATTCATTTGTCATCAACAGTGCAGTAATAACGTGACCACCAGGAGGCCAGAGTACAAGAAGGAATACAAGAAGCTGGGTTTCCGCAACGACATCAATCCAGCGCAAGACTTTATGGAAACCCCTCCTGGCATGCTGGCTCTGGACAATATGATATTTTTTGCCAGGAATCACTCTGATCAGTGGGTATTACAGATGGTTTTATTTTTATTTTTATTTCTTCCTTTTTTCACCCTCTTTTCTTGCTCTTCTAAACCGCCTCCTCCTTTTTTTTCTTTTTTTCTTTTAATCTTCTTTTTCTTATCCCCATCTTCTTCTCTATCATCTCTTTCTCCTTCTCCTTTTCATTCTTCTAAATGTGTTTGTAGTTTAAGATATGACCAGTTGTTCTGTCATTGATATTTGAAATTGAAAAAATTTAGATTGAAGGCAGCAACTTTCAATAGGACACAGGAATATATTATATATAAGTTTAAGATCCAAATATATGTAAGCAAAAGTTTGAAAACGTCAGGTGAGTAGAATAAAAATGTAATTTGGGGAATGAGAGTGCTGAAGGGTTCTTTGTGAGTTCTCAGTTTTTGCTTTTCTGAGATTTAATGTACTATAGTAATTGATTCTTTGGTGACTAACTGCCTGTGAAGTCAGCATGTGTAAACAATATTAACAAAATTACAGTGGATAGTACATGTAGGGCCAATAAGCTGAAAGGGGTTTAAGATGTATCATGTTCTAATCAAATTTAACCTGGTGATGCCAGTTGTGGAGTCATGAAGCACCAGTGGAATATGCTCCAATGTTGGTGTCATAATTCCATTTTATTTTAATTGCTGCTGTGTGATCCCTGTATTCTGTTCTGCCTATATTTTTTTAGACTTTGTATATTGCCCTAGAAATTCTATAGTTCCACTCAGCATCTCTCTTTCTACCAATCATGTTAATCAGCTAGACTATGTCCCAACCTCTACCCAAGATGAGAAACTATCATTGGTAGAGTCTATGTCACAATTACCCCCTCTTGTCCTACCCTTGTCCTCCACACCCCCTATCCTTTACTTCACCCCTTACCCCTCCACCAGGGAGGAGAGAGAGAGAGAGAGAGAGAGAGAGAGAGAGAAGAGAGAGAGAGAGAGAGAGAGAGAGAGAGAGAGAGAGAGAGAGAGAGAGAGAGAGAGAGAGAGAGAGAGAGAGAATTTACCTTAGTTTACCATGAAATGAACTAGAGGCTTCATCAAATTCCTTTCAACTTTGTGAGAGTGAGTGAGTGTGTGAGTGTGTGAGTGTGTGAGTGTGTGAGTGTGAGAGTGTGAGAGTGTGAGAGTGTGAGAGTGTGAGAGTGTGAGAGTGTGAGAGTGTGAGAGTGTGAGAGTGTGAGAGAGAGAGAGAGAGAGAGAGAGAGAGAGAGAGAGAGAGAGAGAGAGAGAGAGAGCGAGAGTGTGTGTGTGTGTGTGTGTGTGTGTGTGTGTGTGTGTGTGTGTGTGTGTGTGTGTGTGTGTGTGTGTGTGTGTGTGTGTGTGCGCATGTGCGCACATGAGCAACATGGGTCTCTTAAACATTTGGAGCAAGACAATTAAGGACATAATATTTTATTAATGCCTGTTTATTATTGTTATTATTATTATTTTGTTTTGTATCAAAAATAAACTGAACAGACAAGTAACACCAAACATCAGCTTGATATATAGTATTGGAAAAACAACTTTATCTTTCCTTTCCCGTTTTTTCATAGATACGCCAAGCTAGTGCTGGAGAATTGCTACCGAGCCGACTCCCACGAATGTCCCTTTGGACGCGCCAGCATTGAACTCACAAAGCTCCTCTGTGAGATCCTGAAGGTGAGTTGTTTATCATATGGTATAATTATGATTTTTGTTGTTGTTCATTTTTGTGTTCTTTTGTGTCAGAATCAAAGGGAAATCTGTTCTGCATATGTACAATTGATTTTGTATGTCTTGTTAAAAAGAATTATTAGGAAGTATATAAATTGAATCTGCACTGAAGTTCGAATGTAAGACCTAAACGTTGCACTTTTTTTAGTTGGAATCTAATTGGTTGGCTTCATCCAAAAATCCAAATCAAATCAGTTTTATACCAGGTTAGAACTATAATTTTTATTTAGGAATATCAATCAATAAGGATTTGAATTTAATCTGTTTTATGAAAAGGATCTTAAAACTGTTCTGTTTTGTACAAGAACCTGAATTCGTATCCATTGTGTATCAAAATCAAAATGAACCCCAGATTGGTGAGGTCCCAACGGAGCAAGGGCAGACCTTCCATCCCATGTTCTTCTCGCACGATCACGCCTTCGAGGAACTCTTCTCCATCTGCATTGTGTTACTAAACAAAACATGGAAGGAAATGAAGGCAACAACTGAAGACTTCAGGTAAAGATGTTTTTGTATGGAAAGTAATTGTTATAAATGTGATTAGGAAGTAGAGGGGAGAAGGTGGTAGAAGATAATTTTATTTTATTTATTTATTTTTTTTATTATTTTTTTTTAACATTTATTATTTATTTATTACAGTAAAGTGCTGAGTGTTGTGCGTGACCAGATCACTCGCACAAACAATGAGTTGCCTTCAACCCTGGACAAGTTCCGAGTCAAGATCAACAGCCTCACGTATGCGGAAATTGCTGAGCTTTGGCAGCAGGAGAGGATTAACAACGAGGAGCAGGAGATGCAAGCTCCACCCATCAAGTATGCAGAATTGATCAAGTTGTACAAGAGATTTGGATGAATAGAAAACAATAAGAAATCAAACTGTAGTAGATGATGATTGTGATTTCAGGGGATAAAGCTTTTTACGAAATTTAGTTGCTGGTTTGTGGTTCAATTTATTAGTTTTGTAATTAGTCACTGGTCTTCCACAGGGAGTTGAGAAAGCAGCTGGAGCCGGAAATCCTTGAACTGATCCAGCAGCATCGCCTGAGGTTCCTAGTGGAGGGCACCAGGTTTAGATATGGCAGAGGCATGGTGAGTAAATCTTAATGGTTTTAAGGCTGTCACTTTCATGAATGTGCATGAAAGATTTTAGAATCATTTTAGCTAGTTATTTCTCCACGTTCATCCTCTTTTCTCTCTACTGTTCCTCTTCCTCCCCCTTCTCCTCCACTTCCTTTTCTTCCTCCTCCTCCTCCTCTTCCTCTTCTTTCTTTTGTAGTTCCTCCTCCTTTGCAACAGCATCTTCCTCTTCATCACCTCCAGAAAGTCTGAATCACACATAGATATTTTTTTCCCTCTCCCTGTAGCGCGCAAAGGACAAGTTCTGGTACTGTCGCCTTTCGCCCAACCACAAGTTCTTCTACTACGATGACTGTGATGAGAAGAACGTGCCAAGCATAGATGAGCTGACCAAGAAGATCAGCATTGTGGATCTCAAGGGCATTGTGACAGGGAAGGAGTGCCCGCACATGAAGGATAGGACGGGGTGAGTGGCTGTGTTTATTTTGGGCGCATTTGTGGGCATGTGTGAGGATGTGCATGAGGGCTTATGTATGCATGTGTTAAATGTGTTTGTGGGTATTTGTAATGGGAGGTAGAATGGTTATATAAGGATAGGTGTTTCTGTTTATTTTTGTTGTATTTTTTCTAGAAGAGTGTGTGCAGAAGGAAGGAGTCTTTGTGTTTGTGTGTGATTAGATGTTTTTGCGTGTTTATGTGTTACAGGTTTCTTGGTACATATATGTGTGCGTAGATGTATTTATAGATCAGTATTTTTTGTGATTTAGGGAGAGAGTGAGTAAGTGAGAAAGAATGTGTGTGTCTATGTCTACCTGTCTGTATATCTGTCTGCTCAAATTAGAAGGAATTATGTTTTTTACGTACAACACTACAGAATTGTAAATTTTATGTTTTCAATTTTTTCACAGAAAAAAGAGTTCTTCGCAATTAGCCTTCTCCCTTATTCTTGAGAGCAATAATGTCAATGAAACAAACAGCTTAGACTTTGTTGCTCCTGAGGAAACCATATACAATTACTGGATAGATGGAGTAAATGCCCTACTCCGTAAGTATTATATGCATTATTTCATTATTTTATTTATATATTTATTATTCCACTTCATTTTTTTTTTTTTTTTTCAAGATAATATTGAATTTATATTGTGATCAGACATTCTTATATGCATTGTAAACACCTTGACTATTGTAGGAATTAGTATTCTTTATTAGACATTTAGAGCACACTAAGATATTGAAACAATCTCCTTGTTACAGGTCAGAGAATGCCCAGTGTAGCAGCCAACAGGGACCTGGAAATGCTACTAAACATGGAGATCAAACTTCGCCTCCTTGATGCTGAGGGGGTCACTATACCACAGCAGGAGCCTCCCATTCCTCTCCTCCTGACCAAGAAGATCAGCATTGTGGATCTCAAGGGCATTGTGACAGGGAAGGAGTGCCCGCACATGAAGGATAGGACGGGGTGAGTGGCTGTATTTATTTTGGGC